GTTGTTCGACGAAGGCTTCGCGTTGGAAGGAAGGACCTTCCTTGTCTCGCGAGTCAGGCGTCCAATCGACCGGTCCTTGTTCAACCAAAATCTCGAATCGCCAGTCGCTTAATGCGAAGGCCCGTGGGGTTAGTTGCCTCGAGTTTATTGGGACGAGGAATCAATGTGCCCATGACACGCGACCCATGGATTATTATTAATTGCCACTATTGTTAATTGCCACGTCTCGGAAGACGCTCGTTCCATTTTCCCCGAGCACAATGTCACAATGGATGTAATCGATGCGTTCCGCCGACTATAACGAGAAAGTAAAAAGCAAAACAATGCAGATTGATCGAATTGGACGCTTGGAGCCAACGTAATTTGCACGACCATTGGATAAGATTCTGTTGATATGTGTAAATGGTAGCTCGTTGTGACAAATTTTACAAATATTCACCAATTTATTTATGAATAAAACTTGTTGCTTATTTTGTCGATTATATTTATATCTTTTTTTATTATTGTTTTGTTTTTTTGTTTTTTGTTTTTTTCGTTTTGTTTTGTTTTGTTTGGCGAGTGCAATTGATAAGCGAGATACACGATGCTGGAAATAATCACGGAAGCTCACGGCAGCGTGCCAAACTACATTCTCGCGATGGTTTTAAGGAGACAAAGTCATCCGTGCAAATCATAACAACATCCTTCGAACAAAGACACTGGTAGGAAAAATATCAAAAAGAAAAGAACAAGAGCGGGATTGACGTAGGGAGAGTTCGTGTTTCGTTTTTGACGAGTCTTACGTCGTACGGTGCCCAATTGTGTCCATTTGTTACCAGGATATCCCCTGCCCCCGCCCGGGTTCTCGTGCGCAGCGAGTTATTTTGACAGCCGTAATTAAAATAAATAAGCCAAGCGCGTAGAGCGGAAGAAAAATAATCGAATGGCGATCGAGGCGAGATATTCGTGGGATGTGGCGTTGGAGTAAGCGAGCTGGAGGCGCTAGATGAGCGCGGGTGAGCTAAGAAGGAGCGAGGAAGAAAGAGGAAAACGCTATGGCCGAAATGTTGGCCTTGACACAGATACGACGCGGGGACTAGACAAATTAGCTTTTACGACGTTCTCGATTGTAGCGCGAAAGTAAATAATAAGCCGCAGAGAAAAGTGTGGAGCGTAGACTCGCACGCGGAATAAAGGGAAAGACGAGAGCCGACGGAGGAAAACTGTAAAAGCGAAAAGCGACCCCTTGCCGAGTTCGGACTTGTCTCGGATATTTTGTTAAAAGGGCGACGTAGTCAAGAGCACGAGTAAAGCGGCGAAAATAGCGGAAGTTTTGTTTAGGGTTGGATTTTTAAGGGTAAGATTGACAGTCGAAGGAATTTCACCGCGTCATGTTTTCCTCTCATTTTTCTTCATTCAAAGCTACAAAGGTGCAAGGAATTTTTATAAAAACTATTTAGAAAGTTATTCGTGGTGAGACAACACTTTCATCCCCGATAGCGACTGTTTCCTTATTATCAAAAGGTATTCGGTCGAGGCTCCAACGATTTCATAACGATTGTGCATTATAAAAGAGAATTTTTTGTTAAGGACTTGGGCACGTACGACGAGAGATAGAGAAATATATTTCATCGCGCGCATAACAAATTAATTGACAAACACACCTAATTCACAACTCGTCAATTGCTCATTTTCATTTTATAGATAATCGTAATTATAGATATTTTGCTTTTTATGTAGCTACGTGTGTTAGGAACTGTTTTAAAGGTAAGAAAAGGACAAAGGACGCAAGTGTTTATGCTGATATATCATATTATGGAAGAATGATCGAACGTCTCGTCATTCGGTTAATCGATATTTTCTTGTGGAGTTAATAAAAGTGACGTTGATAAGGGTAAACAGACGTAAAATGTTGATTATGAATAATCATTGGTATCTAGGAAAAGCCATTAATAAAAGAAAGGAAAATTGTCGGTTATCGAGACTTACTTATCCATCTACGAAAAACATTCCTCTTTTATTTAATTTTTTTTTTCCTCTTCTTCATTTCTTTCTTTTTACATTGCGTTACCTTAATGAAATTACCCCTTTTTCATTTGTGTAGTTGCAGCAAGTTTGCGGATGTAATTATAACCCGCGTACACGATAAAAGCAATACGAGTAAAGCACAATTTCTCCGTAATATAAACAAAGGTGAATTGCAAATCGACAATATTGTACGCTTATTAAATTGCAACTCGTCCAATAATTATACTTAGTGAAATGAATCCTCTTTTTTTTTTTTATTTTTATTTTTATTTTTATTTATTCGTTCCTTTTTTTTTTTTTTTTTTTTTTTTTTTTTTTTTTTTTTTTTTTTTTTTTTTTTTTTTTTTTTTTTCAATACAGACCTCCATTTTTCAGCGAACAAGTAAGATATTTTTTACGAGAGTGCATTCTTAATGTGATTTTTAAATAAGGGGTATCGCGATAAAGGGTATTCTTTCCATTTCGTTTCATCATATCATTATAAATATTTGCAGTTTATCTTACTCTTCTCTAGCTTTAATCTCTAACATTGACAATAATTATAGAATGGAAAAGTTTCGAAACATTAATCATACATTTACCAATTTAATGTACAAAAAAAGAAAAAAAAGAAAAAAAAAGTTGTTGAAAATTTTAGAATACATTTGTTCGGCATATGTAATTATAAAATATAACGGTGTGTCGTTGCACTCGGAACTAATAACTAATTTTCCGAAGCATAAAATATCACAGTTCTCTTTCCATATTTAATTTCATTTCATTATTAAGCACGCGCCGAGCCTTTTTCAGAAAAGTATTTGTAATCGCAGCACCCTCACTGTTGAAAATGGAGCGATAATTTCAATTTAATATCCGATAAAGATATATTATTATGTGCACTTTGGCACATGGTGTTTCGTAAATTCCGACCGACCTTTTGCACGTACGCGGTGCATAGTCATAAAATGCTCGGTCGTCCATCCCTTATCGCAACCACTTACACGCGGGAATCAGCGTCGATGCAACGTTGACGACTCGAGCATTCAAAGGCGCATTTCCACGTGTTCATGTGAAATTCATATTTTAGACGACGTGGGTGGAAATGTAGTTGAAAAAAAATTAATTGCTTAACCGTCGCTCCACTATTATCGACTTAAATAACTCTTCCAAATGATAATAGCCTTATTTATTTATTATATTTTTCATTATCTTAAAGTATTAAATTGTTATAAATTGGCATGGTCAGAAATCATGGCTCAGAAGTAATAAATATTGTTCATATCCGATTGTAACAATGGCTGTTTCGACGAACAGACAAATCTAACAACTTTCATACCAGAAAATCGTCTCTACCTTCATTACGAATTACAGTACTCGTCGACAGGTAAACAAGAATATTTACAAACACCCAATATATAAATACTTACCTGTATATACAGGTATAGACATGTACTTTCTCAGAATAATTACTATTACTCAATCTAATTTTCAATAGAAGTAATTATGTATGCACGGCTGGGATTGCGAGCTTGGGCGGTACCTCACAATCATTATTATTCGTTAATATTATTAGGTTGGCATCCGTACAAATCTTCGAGCGGCGATTCTGCAAAAAATATGAATATTATAATATTCAAAGTAGTTGGTCGCTCGATTCGTACTTTCACAATGGCGAATTATACTGCGAGCGTCCGTTAAACGGGAACGGTAATGCCGCAGAATTCGACACTTATATCGCGAAATTTTATAACTTACCTCCCCCTAAATTAGTAGTAGGAGTGCCTTTAAAACTTTATTTTCCCACACGTTACCTCCTACGCATTAGACACTCTATTACTTGGGCTTACACTGTATAACCGTCCATAATTCAACGAGTTTCTCTCTCGGCCGTGTATTTTCTTACGGCTGCCCAAGCATTTTTACGACCATGAAAATCGACTCATTGTCGAGCGTCGATGATGGCCCGGTCGGGAGGCAGATCGGAGCCGACTCATAATCACACTCGGTGACAAAAACCGTATTCTCGCGCGCTCAGTCGATCGGCTAAACGCGAAAAAAAAAACGGAAAAAAAAAAAACCGGGACTGCATCGTTATTGTGAAGGTGGTGAAGGAAGATAAACAAGCAGACAAGAGGAAGAAGATGAAGTAGTAGAAGTGTGAGATCAAATAAGATATAGAAGAGATGTGGGGTAGTGGGGTGGAATTGTTGGATTGGTGCGCGGTGGAGTTGGGTGAGGGTAGGTGGTAGGTGGTAGCGGGTAGGGGGTATGAGGTATGGGGTATGGGGTTGGGATGACGGCGTGAGGGGGGAGGGGGGGGCGGCGGAGGGCGGAGGGGTTGAATCGTATAAGGGTAGGCGAAAGAAAAGGGAGACTGGGGGGGGGGGGGGGGGGGGGGGGGGGGGGGGGGGGGGGGGGGGGGGGGGGGGGGGGGGGGGGGGAGGGAGGAGGGGTTGAATCGTATAAGGGTAGGCGAAAGAAAAGGGAGACTGAGCATTCCTGAGAAATGCTCCTAGGCAAGTACATACGGTGAAAGAAAGAGAAACAACAGCCACGGGTGCGCTGTAGACCACAAAAGGAACCGGCATTCTTCTCTGCTCCTCTGTCTCTCCTTCCTTCTCCCACAGCCACACTACCGGAGACTTGATTTATGAGTCCGCGTGTACGAGCAATCGGATACGACGGTGGGGATAGCGCATGCGCAGCCATTTTCTCGTACTGGCCCAGGCGAGGCCTATAGATCGGCACCGCTCTCCCCACTCCCCTGCTCGGGGCCTTGATTTTCGTGCAGCCTAGAGTCCTGTCGCCTCCCTTCCTCTACCTCCCTCTCTCCTACTCCTCCTTGGCGGCTGCTGCAGCGACTCTCCTTGTCCACTCGGTTATTAAAACCGAGGCGACACGCTCGCCAACCAGCAATTATCCGGCAAGCGCCCGAGGAAAGAGCACGGATTCTCGGAGAGGGAGAGATAGTCAGAGAGACAGAGATAGAGAGGAAGAGAGAGAGAGAGAGAGAGAGAGAGAGAGAGAGACATTATACGGATAGTCCGATCATTAAAATACAGTGCTAAAAGTGAATTTTGAGTATTATCATCCCTATGTGGAGGAAATAGTTGTACTCGTAGTTGGATTTTCTTACGTCGATGGTATTACGACAATTGTGCTTGAGTTCTATCATCCAAAGAATTGCTTGGAAAGTGACAACGGCATTTTTATAAACCCGCACTCATCGTGTGCACAATGGCGCAAGTTATGCAGTATCAACAGGTGTGTGTTTCATATCAGCGAATTTATTTTTACGCGTGTCTGTGACAGTTGCCCTTTTATAACATAATATCCAGCCAATAAGAGCTGTTGTCATCCTACCCCGAGCTTCCGAACGTCATTCATTATTCCTTGTCGCGACACTATAATCCCATTAAATTCATCGGCTTTTCCTTCAACTGCTTGTCTTCTATGAAATATTAAAAATAAGAGCCAAAAAGACAAAAAAAAAAAAAAAAGAAAAAAAAGAAAGAAATAAAAAAAAAACAAAAAATAAGCATTTGATGGAACAACAGAGACAAACGCGTTACGCTAGGGATCTCGATCATTCCGTTTGCCTTTCAAATTACGCACGAGACGTAAACAACGGCGCACGACATTGTCCATCATCACCTTCGTCACAACGCAACCGATCGTTCTTACTTTCTCTCTGCGATTCCAGATGTGCATGCCCACGATATCGCCCATGCCAGGCATGGCCCCCATCTCCTCTATGTCGATGTCGATGCATCAGCAGCATCACCACCATCACCCAGCGATGGACTTTAACAACGCTGCAGCAGCGGGCCTCCACTATCAGGCCTACGGCAGCTCCGTAAGCTCCGGTCAACTCCATCACCACCACCATCATCACCACATGAGTCTGAACCAGGGCGGGCAGCCCTCGGCCTACTGGTTCCCAACCGCCAGCAGCGTTCACGGCCAGATGCCCGAGGGCCTTGCCGCACCCGCCTATACGTCCGCGAGCTCCGTGACGCCGACCTGGTCCGTCCAGTCCCAACTTCCCAGTGGCCTTTCCCAGATCCAGCATTACTCGCTGCCGCCCACGCCACCGGAGCTCCCGGCTAGCCCGCAGTCCCAGCTCTCGGCATACCAGTGGCCGTTGAGCCCGCCCGCTGATCACGTCCTCGGCGTCGTCGTGGAAGTCGAGTCGAAGGCGGCCGCGGTCAGGAAGTCGACGCGTTGCCGTTGTCCCAACTGTCAAGTCGACGGTGGCATGGCCCAGCTTGGTAGCGACGGCAAGCGTCAGCACGTTTGCCACGTGCCTGGCTGCGGTAAAATTTACGGGAAAACCTCGCACCTTAAAGCCCATCTGCGCTGGCACACGGGCGAGCGGCCCTTCCCATGCAACTGGCCCTTCTGCGGCAAGAAGTTCACCAGGAGCGACGAGCTACAGAGGCATCTGCGCACCCACACCGGCGAGAAGCGCTTCTCTTGCCCGACCTGCGCCAAGAGGTTCATGAGGAGCGACCACCTCACCAAGCACATCAAGACGCACGAGAACCAGAAGAGGAAGAGCGCCAAGAAGGAGGCCGTCGCTGCTGCCAGCAACAAGGAGAACAGCCTCCCCGACCTCAAGGATCTCAAGCATAAGTCACAGAGTCCGACAATCGTTTCGCAACAGCAGCAGCAGCAACAGCAGCAACAACAACCGCAACAGAATCAGCATCAACAACAACAACGACAACAACAACGACAACAACAACAGCAGCAGCAGCAGCAACAACAACAACAACAACAACAACAACAACAACAACAACTTCTACAGTTACAACAGCCCCAATTGCAGTACCCTGTTTCACACGTCACCGGACATTATCACCTCAATCATCTTAATCATCATCAAATGTTACACAGCTCCATGATCCCGGCTTAGTGTTTTTAAATATTAGTAGTAGTAGTAGTAGCACGTGTGTAGGGCGAGAGCGATTATAATAAAAATTGACCTCCTTCTTCAGTTCCTGAGTAGCATGTAAGTATCGGCTATAACTTGGAGGTCAATATGTACGTAAGCTATCGATGTATGTATATTAGAGGACAATACATAGAGAGAGAGAGAGAGAGAGAGAGAGAGAGAGAGAGAGAGAGAGAGAATGGGTATGCGCGGACGTGTGAGTAAAAAATTAAAGAAACGAGATAGAGAGATATGTAGACCGAGATTGTAAATAGGTTAACAATGTACATATTTAACCTGTAAATAATAGATCAATCGCACCGCAGGGAGGAAAAAATTGATCGATTTGATGGTTTTGTAAATAACTGTCGTATAATTTTGTAATTATAAATTTACCGCTGAAAAGCATTGATTAAATGAAATAGAATATTTAAACTTGACTATAGTTTATTTGTTCCCTCGCATTAGTCCTTCATCACCATTACCTTGCACAATTTTATTTACATTAATACAAATTCACGATATTATTTTATCCGTTTGATGTTTTATGAATTTCACGACCATTTGCATTTTCAAAATACTCTTCTCATTTTGGTTGAAAATTTGGCGTCCACGAGGGAAAAAATGCTTTACCAGCATCGATTTCATTAATCTATATCAAGTTTCGTAAAGTAAAACTTATTCCTATACCCGCCAAATACATTAACGCTTATGTGTAGAAATTTTAATGCTGTGTAATACGAGGCCTTCGATTCATTGTTAAAGATTTTAATTAAAAATTGAGGAGTTGCGTTAAAAGTAAGAAAGATACGAGTCTCAAGGGACGTTGTTATATAAATTTATTCTGAGCATAAGTTTGATAAAATTTTACTTTTATCTACTATTGAGTTATTCTGGAGCAACAGTTCGGTATAGAACAATTTAAATAATATTAATTAATTTGGTATAAGCAATGAGCTTGAGTGGAGAAATGTGAAACATTACGTATTGAATGGTTCAAGGTAGTCGAAAGGTGGTGGCACTCTTCTACTTCTTCCATCTCAATTCGAAAGAAACGTCACGTAAGCGCAATGTGCGGAAATAAAATCATCGAGTACCTTGAAATTTCACATAACAACGTATCATCCCTTGATCATATATCACGCTTTATCCGACATCTTCCTGTCACATGATACATCCTCTGCACCGCCCAGCATCAACAATGAGCTCAGCTCAGGCCGACGATGCTCTCTTATTATCCTCTTTTAATCTTTGCTACGAATCTTCGATTGATCCAAGAATCTAGATCGGATTTTGCTATTTACCATATGGTACGCGTTAGTGTAGCACTCTTTAACTGCGAGATGGTAACGTCTCATGACTGCCAACGATAATTAATATTTTCATTTATACACTCGCGCTCCTCTCATTATTATCTTATATTATCCATATTCGTATTAATGCTCGAGAGATATTAATGCTTCTAGTAGACTTTTCATCACATTGAATTCCAATGGACCAACTTCGCTATCAAAAACTAGGACTAATAATTATATTCATCATTTGTAAATACGCGATGTAGTGATGATAGTGGTGGTGGTTGTGGTGGTGGTGGTGATGGACCGTATGAATATCTAAGGAAAATATCGAAAAATTATTTTTACACAAGATTACAGCCGTTTGATAATTATAAATATCATTTCGTCCCAAACGGCTCATATCGTCCGACAATCACTCGCTGAGACGTAAATAGATAATCTAATTACTTTAATATTCCGATGACAGATGTCAAATGTGCGTATATTGTGTTGTAAAGTAAATTTTTAATTTTGATTACTTTTGGTGGATAATTCGTAATTGAACGTATAAAAGTCTAGTTAACTTTCCTTTTACTTTGAGATGAAATGATTTCGATTGGCTATGAAAAATGCCACCTCATGTAACTCTCTCGCTCGAGACACAAATAAATCTCAATTTTAATTGATTAAAAATCTTTTCATCTTCACATGTAACGAACAACAAAGGTCGCCAAGGTCAACAGCGTTTGGTGGCTTAAAACACGAATCAGAAAACAGAAAATCGTTATAATATAATTGTCGGGATACAATAATCGGGATTAAAGACACGAAAGCAATTGAGGGAGAGAGAGATATACGAGATGCGTTGCATCAACGCTCAAGCCACATAAGTCGAGATTATGTATAGTACATATGAATAGTTGAGGGAGAGTTGTGAACTTTGTACGGCTTTGGTCGCGATCGGAAAGTCTGACGATAAATTCTTATAAGGTGCTCGCGGGTGATGAATGTCTTGATTAAACGTATCCGAGGACGAATGGGTTAGCATTTTGCTGTCCGGCTGATCGAGCAAACATACGAAGCCTCCTCGAGTTCCCGCGTCGTCGGCTACTGTTGTGGCTCTTCGTCGTCAGATGGCGACAGGCGGACCACTCGCTTTGTCGAGCGCATAGAGGGTAAGAGAGAGAGAGAGAGAGTGAGAGAGAGAGAGAGAGAGAGAGAGAGAGAGAGAGAGTGGAAGAGAGAGAGAGAGGGTGAGCGAGCGATAAAACACAGTGTGAATGCATGCAATGCACGTATATGCATTGTTGCGCTGAGGTGCGCACGTATGCATAAGAGTATGAGTGGGCATGAGCACGTGTGGGCACAGGTGCGGATGCGCGCGCCTCAGCGGTCAAGTAGGGAGAGCCATTAAGTGGGCGGGCGTCTCGCGTGGCTCCGGCAAGGATTCATGGCTGGCTCGCGAGCCGAAGAGAGAGGACAGAACGGCAGGACGATTGAACAACGGAACGAGGACGTGGACGAGAACGAGGGTGATGCGCATAAGAAGTAAATAAATGAGATGGTAGGGAAAAGTCTTCGGATGGGTGAGTGAGTGATAGGGTGGGTGGGTGGGTAGGGGGTAGAGGTAAACTTTCTGAGGAGGATAGGCGGCCGTGCTGTAAGGAGAGAAAAGAGGTGTACAGGCGGAGGGGGTGGCGCCACGGTTATTCCGAGTGGGTACGCGAGCGGCGCGAATCCCACTGTCGGCGTCGTCCAGGTCTCTCGTTGCAAGCGAGAAAGGAGAAGAGGCCCGCAGTTGGTTGGCCGATCGCTAGCTCGTGGAGACGATCAACGACCGGACTCGCGCGCGCGCTATTTTTCTTTCTCACTCTCTCTCTCTCTCTCTCGGTCACACACACACACGCTTTCGCATTCTCTCTTGGAACTCGGCGCGTGTGCGTGAGAGGTGCGCCGGCGATTGCACGAGGCGCGTGAAAAGCCACGGGAGCCCCGCGCGGGCCTTCAGTGCGCGCCGCCGCGATTCAAAGCAGGCCACGCGCCACGACGCAGCTCCTCCGAACCTCGCGCATCAAGTGCACGAGAGAGAGTGAGTGACCCGTGAAATGAGAGCGGGGCAAGAGGGGGAGACGTAAGAGACCACAAGGCGCGTGGGTGTCGGTTGTTGAGAAGTGACGCGGGAGTTTACTACGAGTAACGGTCGCGCGCCACGATATTGCGATTAGAGGGAAGTTGGGTGGCAGAGAGAGAGAGAGAGAGAGAGAGAGAGAGAGAGAGAGAGCGAGTCGGTCTGTCCGAAACAGCGGAAGGGGGGGGGGTGTAGCTATACATACACTTACGTACGTACGCACGCGGGCGCACACGCGCACGCACGGACACAATTGCACATATTAGCTGGGCAACCTGGAGGCAGTGGTTGTTGCCGTTGGCGGCAACTGTGGTGGCGACGGTGACGGCGGAGGCGGTGCCAGTGGGCGCCACAAGGCTGACAGCCCCACGGCGCCCCTAATCTCCATAAAAGTGAGTTTATTACCTATGCAATGCTCGATTACAACCCCACCCCCACCCCCTCTCCTTCTCCTCTTACGTCTTTACTTCCAACCTTTACCCTTTAATCTCATGAACGTACGTAAATAAGTAAGCACCTATGCCTAATGGATTTTGGCCCATACCCGACCAACGGATGCATGGATATACATGCCCATTCGTTTTTCATTTACGTATAGACAATGCATTGTTTTTTTCCACCTTTGCGTTTATCGCTGGATTTTGGCGAATACGTGCATGTGTGTGAAAACACGTATTCTTATAATTACAATCGCAAGCTGATTGGCTGCTGCTTTATCGTTTCTTTGCTGGGAATATTCTCGACATTAAACACGGACATTTATTTATCTAAGTTTATTGTTAAAACGTCATTTGTGAGAATACGTAAGCTTATAAATGTTATAAATAATAGATCACGATTGTACTACTTTCGCGCATTGATATTTACAGGTAGCAAGTCTTACCGTACCTACATATTACAAAGATTTATTTTTCACGCATAATCAGAACGCAAAATTTGCTAGTTAGACCGTTTCATCAAATAGCACTTGATTTATCAATTTGCATAGCGAAAATAAAAACAATAACTAGACGAAATTTTTAGAATTCCCCCTCGCTCTCCCTATTCTTACCCAGAACGCTTAGCGCGCTTCATTTGGCCAATGTGAGACAAACTATCAAGTGTTATTATATTCGAGCCCTCTGCTGAAAAAAAAAAAAAAAAAAAAAAAAAAAAAAAAAAAAGAACAAAGAACAAAGAACAAAAACAATACAAATCGTATAGTCAAATCGTAAATCCAATGTCAAGCCAAAGTCATTTGGCTAGCGTTATGATATGATTACGTCGAATGAAGCGCAAGTGAGAAAGAGTGGCGAGAGTGGGTGAGGAGGAGCCGAAAACTCGATAAATGCAAGTCGCGCGCCTCGGACTTGTAATATAACAAACGTTACAATGTTACCGTAGCCGTTTACGCCCACCATCATACATCACACGGCGAGTTCCCCTCTCTTTCGCCTCGACTCTTCTCCCCTCGTGCCACCACCTCCTCTCTAACCCCGTCCCGTAACCACCGCTCCACCCATCCCTCTGGTCAGCTCTTCCAACGTCCCACTCGCGGGCACACACCCAAGCTCGTTCTTTCCCTCT